ATTACTTTAAGGGAGAAGCATGCTTCTCACCAGCAGTGCAAACTCCAGCTTCCTGTGTGAGGTACAGCAGAGCTCCATCCTTGCATGATCTGCCCAGTGGGCTTATCTGCAGCCACCCACACACCACAGTACAAAAACAGGACAGAAACAGACCCACTAAAACCCATTTGAACTTGCACAAAAGTGAAACTGCTGCCCTTTTTTGCAGGACAGTTAACTGCCAAAGAGGCCATACCTTCTGTTGTTTCATTACTAAACGAAATCAAATAATTTAGTGCTGCTACCCCACATCGCCTAGCCCTTGGGTTTGACTCGGACCTGCAGCACATTCTGAGTGGAGTGTGCATAGGTTGGTCTCCCTATAATAGTGTGTGTTCTGTCATAGACTGGCATTCCATCTTAGGCATAGTCCCACCCTGACATGCTGAGATTACTCTGGGTTCCTGCAACCCATACCAGCAGCGAGCAGCTTCCTCCTAATGAATTAATATATTAAAGTAACACTAACACCTCCCTGATTCTTTTAGAAAGTGTCTTCCAGACGAGAGAGCTGTTGTAAGGAACCAGCTGCGCGGGACTGCCTTCCTCAAGCTCCTTTCGAGCTGCTGAGCAGCAGGGAGTTTACTCCTGGGCTTGTAACACCGGGCGAAGGAGAGAACCCCGCAGCTGGAGAGCCTCAGAGCCTCCGCGGCTGTGCGGAAGAGGCCCTGCAGCGGTGATGACGTGCGGCGGGGCTCAGTTAAAGTCCGTGGGTTCAAGAAAGCGTCAGATGCAGTACACTGAGTAAGGCGCTACGGTACTCATGGAGATGAGTGCTGTACTTCAAGAAAGCTGCGGGCTGGCCGGTTACTGGGTCTAGCCAGCGGGCTAACAGAGCTCCTTTTTCTGAATGTAAATGTTCTCGATTCAGGGCTAGGCGGCCGTCAGACGGGAGGCAGGAAGGACCCCATACAAAGATTGTGAAGCAGCCCCCCCAAAATGCCGCTGAAAGGCCTGGAATAATGCAGCTCCGAGGGGGAACGGGGGAGAGCTGGCGGATGTAAAAGATGGGCAGAGCGGAGCAGAGGAGGGTGGAGGAATGCACCTCCTGTCCTCTCCTCTTGGGTGACACGGGGACAGTCAATGTGGGGCTCCCCCACCCGCCCTGTTCTGCCTGCGGGTCTGCAAGGGACCAGGTGCAGGTGTCCCTCTCACCATTAAACTAGCAGCCCTTCTACTCTAGCCCTCAGATCTAAGTGGCTTTGGGCATTTAGGGAGGGTCTGCTCTGTCAAGCACATGGATTTAATCAACATTTAAGGAACAAGCACCCGGATTATAAAAGACGCACAAAAATAAATAATTGTTTTTATATATACTGTATGGCTGGCTGTAAGTGGCAATTTTCTCTCCTGATGCTGCTAAATTACCTATGATCCCATCTGTGAACTTCACGTAAATTGGCTGTACAGACTCAAGCAGATTCGTCTCACAGGCGAGTCCAAGATAAATTATTACCCCTCTGTGTATACACCTTACTCATGGGCCTGGATAGATGTATTCCTTTAATTTGCGAGCTATGGAGTGGCACAAGGTATTCGTGAACAAATTTAGTTTTTTTTTTTAAATTATCCCAATCTATGTCTCATTCTGTAGATTAGAACACGTACAGAATGAAGCAGATAATGGGGTAAATTTACCGAAAAGGTTTGCACCATAGAATGAAATGGGACAACATTTTGTCACAAGGATGCATTACACACCGCTAGAAGTAGCCATAAGCCACAGTGTTTGTTAGTAATAAAATAACAGTTAACCAGTAATGATGGCTTGTATCAGTACAACATTTTCAGGGCAGATCTTTTAATTAATTGTTTTCTGCAACTGAAGCAAACTTGTATGTATCGGGCAGGCAATTTGCTGCAAAGTTGTGCTGAAGGAGGAAGGATATCATCAGGACTCCTTCCTGGCTCTTGGCTCCTCCACATGGGCTGTACCCAGTGTCAGAGGCCCAGCAAACACAAAAGGCTTACAGATGATGATAAATTTGGTCAGCACCTCTTTGGACTGGAGCACCTCCAGGAAGCCCACCGCAGACCGTGCAAACTCTGGACTGGGAGGCTGCAGGGCTATCTGCCACATCACAGTTTCAGTCTCAACCTGAGCAACCAAATGGCAGCTTGTGCTGCTACAAAGCCTGTTCATTCAACTCAGTTCAGACTGCGCTCGTGGCCAGATGACCTCTGGGCGGCATAGCCCTTCCAGCTCGATTTCTCGGGCCTCAAGAGCGAGGGGGGGTTGGAAGACATCTCAGAGCTACACTATGTGGTCCACCCCTTTCTGCAGGCAATTCTGTGCTGCTATGTATTTCTCTTTGAAAACATGTGGAGGTCTCCAAGCCCTCCACCCTGTGTGCCTGCCTGCAGAAACGTTCTTTACAGTACAGTTTATTTTACAACCGTATGTACATTCACACCACGCAGGCTTCCACAAGCGCCACTGTATCCCCAGCAGGTCAATGACTTCTAGATGTCTTTCCCTCCTGCTCTGAATCCATATCAATTTTTAGAGGCCTGGAAAAAAGAAAATGTGACAAAGTTACCAAAAAAAAAAAAGAAAAAGAGTGGCCATCTGTTTGAGAAGTGGCGTAGTGGTGTTTGCTGTGGCTGTGAAAGCTCCTGAATTCAGGGCCAAGAATTTTCTCACACTCCAGCAATGTAATAAGATGTGCCAAGGAGTAAAGAAGAGAGAAAAAGGGGGGAAACTGGCCATTTGTCATAGGCTTTTAACTGTGAGGTGAGGGTGGTGGTGATGGTGGTGGTGGTGGTGGGGGGGGGGTTGTTGTGGAATAAGCCAGAGTGTAGTGGTGGGTTTCTGCTAACAACAAGTGCATTGTTGTTTTCTAAAGCAAGCCCACCCTTCTGTTTAACAGAAGTGACAGCCTGCTCTTCTGGGAAGAACTGGAGGAAAACCAGGGGAAAATGGTGAGAATCTCCAGCCTCCGTCCCCAAGGGCCGCCTGAATCGCCCCTTTTACTCCACGGATTTCCCTAATTGCATCTCAGTTCTCATTCACACTTCAGAAACGCTTCAGTCTGAGCAAGGCAGAAACAGCACTGCGTGTAATGCATGCGTGTGTGTGTGCGCGCGAGCTTACGTCGGAATAAATGAAATTAGCACATCAAAAAAATAAGTCTGCCCCTCCTGAATTTTCAGCTTTGGGATAGGATTGGGGAGTAGAGATTGGGGGCAGGGGGGGGGGGCAGTTGTGTCTTATTAGAATTGAGGAGTCGTTAATCATTGCAACGCAGTCAGAATGGTTGATTTATAGGAAAAAAAGGTTTCAGACTCCACTGAACAAGCACAAGGCCTACAACTCCATTCAGGGCTGAATCTCTGAGCATCACACTTTGGAATTCTCCGCACAACACACACACACACTGTGTTCTCAGCCCAACGCAATTATACAGTCGCACAGCACAACAGGCTGGGCAAGTCAGAGAGTTCCTCCAGTTAATTCCCCAACAAGTTTCACTGAGATCTTGAGCACGACGCTTCTGTGTGTAATTGAGTTAAACACCAGCCTTAAATGGACCCTGTCTGTACGTGTACTTATCCATCATCGCCAGCTCATTGTTCTGTAGAAGAATATAAAAAAAAGTAAATGAAAAATGCCTATGCAGAATGAAGGACATCATAGCAAGAGAGCTTGGGGAAGGCATGCCCACACTGCAGTGACAAGTCCCTGCTGTATTGACTGCAAGTTTATTTACCCACATAAAAAAAAAAGAATTGCGTGTTGATCTGAAAATTCCATTATATATCCAAGATTTTCTAAAAATAATCACCACTATTACATGCACAAATTCAATAGGTTTTCCCATATGAATATTGATTTTTTTTTCTTGGAAAACACAGGCTCTTTTTTCAAAGAGTCACTGTTTGGCGTAATATATTCAAATAAAGCTGGCCTTTATTCTCGGAAGACGATGGTCAAACCAGCAGAACTGCTGCCATTCCGTAAATTTCCAAACGGGATGCGTTTTTTTTTTATCAGGCTTTACTTTGCTTTGTGATGCTAATGTGCTTCCTTGTCTTTGTCATGTGAGGGCTAGCTTTCCATGGACACCCAGATCAGAGCAGGGAGGGGGAAACCAGATATTCACCCCCAACAATGCAAATTGTTTTCATGATTGAAGGGATTATAAACCACTCTGTTTGTGACGGTCATTATCATGCCTTTTCTAGCTGCTGGTGCTGCAAATATTTTCTTGCAGAATCATTGACCTGCCAGCTCCTAGCAGGGCCACGTCTCCCTGTGGACATCTGATCTCCATTTAATTGCTGGTTTTGGTGATCCCCTCACGGGGCGAGGAACCTCTCTTAAATTAACCACATGATTAGACTGTTCAGTGTGTTACCTTCTGCGATTTTCACCTATAATCCTAAACATCCAATCTCCTCCAAATCCTCACCCTCTCTCCCCAAAGACAAAAATGCTTTCTAGGAGAATACTCTTGCTAGCTAATATGGGTGGGGGGGTTGTCATTCAATTACGAGTTGAAATGACAGAACAACCTGATTTAGCCCCCATCTCCAGTGGGAGGACTCATTGTGAAAAACCTTCTCCTCTCGACTCAGTCTCTTCCGAGAAGTGAACAGTCAAAACTGCCAGGAAAGGGGGGCGCCCTCTGACTCACACCAGCCAAGTAACAAATTCCTGCCTTGGATTGCACTTGTCTCACATCCAGGGAAAATAGTCCGACCAGGACCTTCGGAGCTGAGCTCAGGAATAAACGGGCTAAACAACTCCAACAGGACTTCGTCTAACACATCTAATAATACTCAATCATACTCACTGCAGAATGTCTCTGTCACTCATTTCATTGTATTTGCATGCAACTCTTCTCCCTGTCCATCACTGTGGACAAGCAGTTTAGGCGGCGTCAACCAAGATACAGTATACAGTTTCCCTCTCACTAGGGTATCAAAGTGACTCAGTTATACCCCCATTGGCTGCTCACCTCCTCTCGATCCCCTCCGATGAGACTCTCTCTCCACCATCATTTGCTTTGCAGATAAAGTTCACATATATTGCAGCGATCCTTCTTTTCATGTCCAGTACAAGCTATTTGGTAAAAATAGTCAACAAAATCAAAGTCCAAAATCAAAAAGAAAGCCCTCTGTGCCCCAGGGGACAGCGGCCTGCACTGAAGTGACCCAATAAATGTGATGAATGGAGAAGGCAGACCTTTAAAACCTTGAAAAACGTTTAAAAAGATGCCTGTTGCTTACAGGATTCACGTTGCCCCAGCAGCGGTGGAAAGAGAGTAGTTAAAGTGCAGTTATTACCCTCAGAAATCCCACGAACACCACCAGCACAGGCACCTGCAAACCAGTGAGAAATGAAAGCAGAACTCAGCAAGTGCACAAGAGCCCAAAACGGCTACGTGGTTCCATACATCAGGATGCCCGTGGGTCCAGCTGCTGACAAGAAACACTTCACCCAGAGGTTCCTAGTTCAGCTCTAGCTCAGCCCATTACTCCCAGTAAGTAACCAGACCTCCTTGTGTTTGACAAGATGTAAAAGCAAGGCCACACTTTTGAAGCATTACTTGCCCCTCAGGACTACGGCCCTGTTTTTCTATCAATCTTCCTGAATAATGCTAACAGAGTAGCCTAAACCATTTTGATGCACAAATGGAATCAATTCTGAATTATTTTCTTTAAATCACTATTAGCAAAAATAATCACAAATGTCATTTGGATGATGGTGAAGAAACAAAAATATCATAATCTGCACAGATTAGTGAAGGAGCATTTTCCTTTCTCTTATTTGTTCCCACCTGATCAGCGAATGAACACAGAGCGCTCGACTGCCTGCCGGACGTGCTGATAAACTCCCGAGGCCACAGACAAGTAGCCCAAGGACAGCCGCCTCTGCCTTTCACTTGCTCATCACTGCCCACATACTAGCCCGCTAATACTGCAGGTTGGAGGCCACCTCAGCTCCTCACAGTACAGCTGCTTTTCAGCCAAGTGAAAAAGATGAAGGAGCGTCTACTGTACCAAACCAGGGCCCCCTCACCGAGACCATCTTGAGGTTTTTCTCCTTCCCCCATGTGATTAATTCTCTCCAGCAACCGGGACTTGAGAAACCCAGCGGGAAACTGCCACTGTCCTTTTCCTTGTTTGTTGTGCGTGTGTGAGAATTTCACTAGGGCAGGGGGGAGGGGGGCTTGGCCCATTCCAACGGGAGGTGAAAGTGGGTCCCAATCAGCAGTCAGCCCTGCGACAGCAGCTGATACCATTTCCCTCTGCAGCACATTCCATGTGTACTGTGCAAAGAGGCACCGCAGGGAACCGATAGGTAGAACATGAGGATCCTTATGCATAGCCAAGAATCCTGCAGAATGTGGAGTAGCACAGGGACAATCCAAAACACATCATCCAGGGGCTTGGTCAATTGGAGAAGCAATGGGTCCAGTAACCAAGGAAATCCAAGAAAGCCAATCTGAAAAACAAAACCCAAAGAGTGTGACCAAAAAGGCAGGAGCAAAGATTAGGAACCAGGAGATCAGTCAAAAGGTGTTGAAACACACACAAGAGAATACTACAGGAGGCTTCTCAATAGTGAGCCTGGGTTGGTGTGTGAGGGAGCTTTAAATACTGCAGGGAAAGGGACGTGGTTGGATAATTGGTCTGGGCATGAGAATTTGTGGAATCTGGTGCATGTGGGAATGTGATGGGTTCAATTAGGAATGAGATTGTGAAACAGTGGGTTTGGGAATGTAACGGCGATTGCGAGGGAGAGTGTGGGGCGTGACAGTGGCTGTCTAGACTAGATCTATCTAGTGTCCCAGAAATTTCTGCTGTGGGTGGAACTGGAGTCTTTGCTGGCCAGCTGATGGGTTGAATTGGCTCAGGATTGGCTTGGTGATCGGTGAATATTTTCTTGGGAGGAAGGGCTGGAATGTGGGCTTCAGACTGGGAGTTAGCAAATGACAAAAGTCCTGTTAGGTCAAAGTGAACTGACCGAGCGTGTCTTCAGAAGGGAAGGGCCATCAGCCCGTCGAGGGGCAGAGGTCAGAAACACGAGGAGGTTAGTCAGCCCATCGAGCCCGTCTGGTCAAGACAGAGCAGATCAGCTCAACACAGCCATGCAGGTTTTGCTGAGCTCTTGAGTGTGTGTATATATTATATAGATACCTGGTTGAGGCTTCCATCCACAGCAACTCACATTTACAACTTACAACACCAGCCAGTGCTTCGGACAGGACTGATCCGCGTGAGCCCTGTGATCTAGTATAAGTGAGTCAGAGGTCGGGCTCTCCACTACTAAATGGAGGGTACAGTGCTCAAAAGAATCCCACACATTCATTATTCTCCTACATGTTGCTGTGCTTTTACAGCAGCAGCAGCAGCCTTTGATAAGGGAACCCGCCAGGGACAGCAATCAAACTGGGTGGACCCCAGCCCTTTCTATAGCCTCCGACCTTTGACCCTGCCCTGCCGGTGACCAGCAGCTCGCCTTTGTCGCCCCCAGCGACAGTCCTCTCGGCTTTGAAACGGAAGATAAAGTCGCTTCCTGACATTGAGGAGCAGGGGCCACCTATTACTCTCCGGAGCCCACCCTCTGTGGCGGCAGCCCTCCGGAAAGCTCCACACGTCCCCACAGCTCACCAGGTCTGGCTCTGATGTGTAGGCCTCGTTCTGCCACTTCTGACCAGGGCCGGTCGCTGGTATCGGCTGCAGTGTCTCCCCACTACTTGTGCTGCAAAGGAACTTTTTTTTTAACTTTCCCTTTGAAGTTCATGCCTCTTTCTAGTTCAACAAGGGAGACTCTAGACTGCCGAACATTCGCGGTGCTCTGCAGGGGTTCTCTCTATGGCTTTTATTCAATAAGGACCCCTTCAAATCCAAGCCCAAAAACAAATCAAATTATAACAGCTGATATGATATGCTAACACATTAGTTAATAATAAACTGGTCAGAACAGCTTTTGAGCACGCTTGTCATAAGATTTGTACAGCCAGGTCCATTCATAAACTAAAACCCGACGCTGCCTGTGAGATCTGGCTTTACAAACTGGGCTCTTACATCTGTTCCTGAGGCAATTCTAAACAATGTGCAAAGCTGCTCTTTTTCCAGACGTGACCCGCAGGGTGGTCCCTCCGAGCTGGTGCTGTGGCGGCCCAGGGTTCTCAGCTCTGAGTCTGAGGGTGCCAGAGACACCCCTGCCCCCTGTCCCAGGACTGTCATCTCCACCTGCCTGTGAATTCAGGCTTGGCTGACATTCAGCCCCCCCCCAAAAAAAAAAAAACAGCTTGAAAACAAGAGCCTTGTGTCAGTCTCCAATGAGGAGGCCATACTGGCCTAGCCTGTAAAAAACGTTGTCAAATCTGCTCGATAATAATAAAAGATTTTTTTTTGCACTCTCTCCCACGCCTCCTCTCCGTCTTTCTGTCTCCTGGTCTTTGTGCAGCTGCAGGGGTGGGAGTGAGAGCCGTAACTCAGGAACCATGAGCTCTGTCCTCGCGGGCCGCAGGCTCGGTGGGCTCTGGGCTGTGTCCCCTGTTCAGAGGCAGCTCGGCATCCCTGGGGTTTCGGGCAGGAGCACAGAGGGGAGAAACAAAGGAGAGAGGAAAAGAACAGACAGCACTCTGGGCTGAATTTAGAGTTCTCAACATCTGTGGAGATCCAACTTGTGGCCAATTGGTTTCAGAAAAGCTTTCTGTGACTGTGGTTTGCTGCAGGTTTTTCCTGGCACGGCTTTTTCCGAACACTTCCTACCCCACTAAGGCCCCCCATTCACCCTCTCTCCCTCTCCCACTTGAAAGGACAACTCTGGCTGCTCCGGAGATGAAAGAGGCCTGCAGTATACTTAGACATCAAGCTGCAAAAAACAGAGCTCATTTTCAGGCCAGAATGCATGCAGTGCCCAGATGCAAGCAAGATGGACTTGCAAACCAGTGCAAATAAAATCGTCGGACGTGAGAACTGAAATTCGGGTTTTTTCAGCTTCGTCGTGAACAATCCTGCAGTGACTGTGTGGGACCCCCTCCTTCTTGGAGAGGAGCTGCTGGTCTTAACTCCCAAGGCTGTTGCGCTCTCTGTCCGAAACCGAAAGAGAACAGCTCTAACCAAAACGTCTCAGGCCTGTGCTGTGGACTGCTGAGCTGAAGGTCCCTCACAAAAACAAGGAGTGCAAACACACCGAGGGGCAGCCCGAAACGTCATTCACTTCTTTTGCATGCAGACGGACATCTTCATTACCATTTGAAAAGACGAACTAGGGTTAAATAAACATCACAGAGGTGCCATTTACACACGAGCATACATTAACAGGCAATCTTCATTCCATTTTATGTTAGTTAGTGAATGGCCCTGTTTCAGCTACGAGGTGTCAGTATTTCAGCCTGCAGCTCCGTCCTGTCCCTCTGGGTTTCTAAGCAGTAATGGGCTACTCTCCCAGTCAGCCAGTGTGCCAGCGATAGCATAGCCTGCTCGTTGGCTCTACCTGGCTGTGCCCTCACCCCCCTGTAATCAGCACCTCCCCGGCGCTGGCAGGGGGCGACCGCGGGCACATAAACTACCGGCGGACCAGGGAGCCCTGACAGCGGCCCTTGTTCTGCTGACAGGTACACATGTCCGGGCCGCCGGGGGACACGGGCGCCTGAAAGAAGACTGGGGGCGTGCGAGCCGGGAGATAAGATTATCTGGCAGGCCAGGCCCTCGCCCGGAGAGCCGCCGCCGCGGGGAGCAGCGTGCTGACACCTGCAGGCCTGCTGGGGGCTCACACTGACACAGCCTGATGGGGGGGGGCAGGCCGGGCTGCAGCGGTCATCCTTTTCATGATCCAGACCCGGGAATCCGCTGTACAGTCGGGAGACGTGTGAAGAGACAAAAAACAAACAGATAAGAAAACAATGAAAAGCCAGGTGGGTCTGAGGCCAGAAGCCATTTATCTAACACCGCCGGGCACTGGGAACTGCCTGCAAACAGCCCAGCGGAAAAAATTACATTTATTTATCAATCAGATTTTGCAAGGGAGCTTTTCTGCTGCAGACTAGTACAGCACCGGCATGTTGCCATGGTCCCTCAGAGAGGCCTCCTGGAGCATGAATACACCCCCGGAGGTTCGGACCTCAGCTCAGCTCTCCTCGGTGCTGGAATCCCGATAGGATGTAAGGAAATGCTGATAACAAGATACGCTTGTGGCCAAACTACAGAAAATATAATCATAGAATTGTACCATAGCATTACAGATTGATCACGTGGTTGTTGTGTCTCTGTGCAGATACTTAGTCACGGATTAATAATAATAATAATAATAATAATAATAATAATAATAATAATAATAATAATAGTCCAGACTGCCAGTATTGAGTGCTGGTGGAATGTGAAATATTCTCTGGATTCTCTAGATCCTTACATTTACCTCTAGCCAGAAGGAGGAGAAAACCATCTTGACTGGTTAATCATTTTCTTTTTTTCTGTTTCACCTTGCTGTCTGTTCCCTGTATAAAAACAAATTTTAGGCCGAGAAGTCTCCTTTTATGACCACCTTTGTTTTATGTAATAAGGCACTCAGGGCTCTCTTAAAGCTCAAGCATGATCGAGCGTGTGTGTTTGTGTGTGTATGTGTGTGTGTGTGTTACTCTTTTGTTACGCAAACAAAATAACTCTGTTCACCGTGACTTGGTTTGACATGACCGCTTTGAAAGTTTTAAGACCGAACCTAAACATTCAGTTTGTGTTTGGGAAAACTGCAACTTAAAAAAAAGTCAGGCATGTGTCTTCCATATATGTCCCTGGGTATTACACTGACGTGTGTTGTGATTTTGTTCTGCTGATATGCCATAAGAATTTTCTCACCTTACTAAGAGCATGTGGTGAAGCAGAGTGCTCTATTCAGGGCAACTGCAAAGTGTCAACTCCATGTCACAACAAATGAGCTGTGCACGATTTTCTTGTGTGCTGTAGAAATAGACTATTGACACCTGTTGCAGTCAGATAAGACCCTGACTGCTAGGCTGGCTAAGGCATAGCCTTGTCTCATATATGGAAACCTGCATAAAGGATTATAAAGTGAGCTTTAATTATACTGAACCTAAACTATGTGCTTCTCAAGCTGTTATTTAGAGAACCTATAGCGGAGTGTGTAAGAATTTTAAGAAGTCAGAGGTTTTAGAGTGTATAAGGTGCTTGTGAACAATGGTATAAAGATCAGATAGGGAGAAAAAAATCACTCTGTTGTTCTCTGTTACAGAATAATCCTCTTTTCAAAACTTCACTGAAGTTTGCTGTGACATCTTGGATCCCTACATTTTAAAATGCAGTGTGTATATATGCTTTCTGTTTCCATTGCCATGGTACGTGAATGTTACCAGAGGAATGTGACATACTGTACCTTTCAAGGTATGAGGAGAGGACGATGGGCTGTTTGCTTAGCGTACAGGTGCCAACGTCAGCTGCCCACAAGGTGGGCAAGTGCTTGTGCTGGTGCTCCAGCCCCACCCTGTACCCCAGAGCTCGCAGCTTCCCTGACAGAAGGCTGGGCTCCTCGCTCTGTTGCAGAAGGAGATGGGCTCCAGCCGGCACCATTCCACCCTGCTGCCTGCTCGCCACTTCCAGCCAGCTCTCAGCGGCCTTGGCGCGCTCACGGAGAAGCACAATGGCCCTGGGCAAGCCCAGGCCTGCCTGCCTCCACCTGACACTCTGCTTAACACCTAGTGCCGTGCTGTCCAAGTGCAAGGCAAAGATTACCGGAACAGCAGACTTGGGAGAAAGCAGAAATCGCAGCAGAGCTATTTGTCCAATTGGGTGTTGAAATTTTATGCAGGGGGAACAAGTTCAGGCTTGACTGAGGTTTATTTATCTTTTCCTTGTCAGGGGCCAAAACGGCATCTTCACAATGGCTGTGTGGGGGGGCGGTGGAGAGGCAAGGAGCACGGGGGGGGAGGAAAAAGAAAATCTGTAACTAGCAGGATCAGTGAGAGTCTTCTGAATGCCAGGTTCATGACTGGAATAGAGGGTGTCGATTACTGAGGCGTGGATGCGGTATAGAAATGCAGCATTTTTCTAATAACGGGGCTGCTCGTTGCTCAGCTCTCTGGAGTCCAGCCTCTCCTCTGCCTTCATTGCCTCTGCCGTCTGCCTGGATGGTGGAGGTGCCTGTTGATTGATAGCCCTGCCTGAACCCAGGCTGACCCTGCGCTCTGCCTGCCCTGTCCTCTGTCTGGGAAGCGCAGCGGAGCGTTGTGGGAAGTCGAGGGGAGTGCGGAGTGCCTGGGGTCCTGACTGGCATGGCTGCACCTGGCCAGCAGTGGGGGGGGTCGGCTGATCGCAAGCTGGTGTCTTCTGGGCTGACCTCCCTGGCACACGAACCGAAACGCCCCTTGAAGGCGAGCCTGATTGCACCAGGGAAGGTACACCACTTTCTCACGGAGTGCCTTCAGCGCAGTGTCTGCACTGCGAACACTGACTCCCTCTCTTCGAGGAGTCCGGAGTCATTGTCCACACACCCTTCTCTCAATGGCCTACCAGGCTCCTGATCAATCATTTTGTCTTTATAACATTTTCTTCCTCACTCCGCTGGGCAAGGTTGGGTGTCAAGAAAGCTCCTAGCCCATTCTGCACTTTGACCAAATCTGCCAGTGCTGTTATGGGGCTTTGTGATACTGTATATGCTGGAGTACACTCTGGCAGCTTGGACATAGGAAGGGGTATTGCTCTTGTTGACCTGAAGATATGTCCTTTGTGTGACAGTGGTATAAGCTTCTTTTTTTATTTTCAGAACATTGTGAATCTCAGTAGGACAGTAAATAGACTCAGACGCTTAGAAAAAAAACAATTGCACTTAATGTGGGCAAGATTTAAAATGCTGCATGATTAAAAATACAAAAGTGAGTTTTTAATGTAGCAAAAGGGAAAGAGAAACCACACTGCAGAGATTAGGAAATGAGATGGAGAAGAAATTAGGAAACGGTACATTTCAGTAGCTCTTCTCCATGCACGTGTTCTGAAACCTGTAAATACATGAGACCGCCCTTGATCAAAATCCACAATATTTATTGCATCGAAGCTTTTCGTACAGCTTATGAATACAAAAACATTAGATTGCACACACACTGGTGCGATGCTTCATTCAGTCAGTATTTCACAGTGACTCCAGGAAACAGACACCTCACTTAACATCTGACTTGTCATTTTCTTACACGCATCTCAAGACCCTTCATTCTACTGCGGAGAAACGTCCATTCGGTTGTGAGTCTATCACAGCTCCAGGCTTGTGTCTTTATTGAAGGCAAGCAGCAGGGAATGCCAAAAGTCTCTGTTTCCTTAGAAATCCAGTTGGCTTCCAGCAAATCCCGATTTGTAATGGAAGTATGGCATGGCCGCAATCTTACAGTAAACCCAGCCAAGAGCCTGTTTCATTGCAGCAGATTAAAAGCTGAAAAACAGCCCCTTGGGAACTTTCTGGGCTGTAAGGGCAAACAGCAGGTGATTGGCCTGTTTGTAACTCTAGATGAGATACCGGTGAGGGTTAGGTCTTGAAAATGCATCTTAAGAACAGAGAAATATTCTGCACAAGACCACCCGAGAACAGTTACCATGAAGGCAAGGAAAGATAACGAACCCATCACCCTGAATCGCATTTGTACTTTACAGCTCCTCTTCTGGAGCACTTCAGTGGAGAGTCTGAGAGTCTAACAGCCACATCCTCCACACGCACCACGAACTCGACACCGGATGTTAGTTTCTTGTCCCAGATAGTTTGTGTGTGTGTGTGCTGATAAATCCCTCCTGTCAATCGAAATGCTGTCATGCGGCTGGTTATTTTCAATCAAGTCAATTGCAGGAGACTTTTTTTTTTTTTTTTTTTACGAGCTGCAATATGAAAAGCACATTGTGGTTCAGTGGCAAAACAACTTTATAACAGTCATAGTCCGCAGTTCAATCTTGCATTAGAGGAATCTCCTGTGGCTACAGTATTTAAGATTGCATCCTCTGGTCATATTAGAAGACTGTAACAAAGAAGGAGAACAAAAAGGGGAATGAGGAATCTAACGGTGCTGTTCTTCAACTCCAGTACCTCTCTACAGCAGCTGCATATCCTTGTACTGGTAGGAGGGTCATCTTCATAAACACAGCAGGGGGATTTCAAAGTGGCAAGTGCATATGACTTCGAGTTCGGAGGAGATCTGGAGTGTCAGGGGGGCTTTCGGTCTCCTTCCTTCACTTTCGGCGTCTCTGTACTGTCTGGACCCTGGACATGAGGGTCCTGCCAGGTAACTGTGAGTCTATACGCACACACGTATCGTCTTTCCCAGCTACACTTAGCTGCCACCCTTTCTGCACACAACAGCGGGAGGGCCCTAGCTTCAGCCGGACTGTAAAGGATCCCCTCCGCTGCTATCGGTGTACCAGGCCTGTAACCTCCCCCCCCAGCTCAAAAAAGAATGGAAATAGCTTCTCTTTTCTGTAAATACAAATTTAAGAAAAAAAAACTCTAAATGTTCGATATTCCTAGGGAAGGTATGATGCTAATGTAGCAAAACAGAGGTCCGTCAGTCTTCCAACCAGCAGGGAAGGGTCACAGGTAGGCCTCCACCCTGTCCCAGGGCTGCATCTCGGTGAACAGGCCCTCGCAGAAGTTAAAGCTCTGGTCGAAGGCCAGAGGGATGGCCTGGGCATCCTCCCTCAGCTCCTCCCAGGGGTGGTGCTGCTGCTGCTGCTGCTGCTCGGAGAACAGCGCCCAGTCCTCCAAGTGCTGCTGCTGGGGGGCGAGAGGGGGCTGGGGGGTCCCCACCAGGCCGCCGGCCAGCTCGGCGAACCCCCACTTCAGGGCCCCGCCGCCCGGGTGGCGCCCCTGCAGGCCGGGGTCGAGGTCGCAGCCCAGCGAGCTCAGGGCCGCGTTGAGGTCCAGGTCCTCGAAGGTGCCGCCGCCGCCGCCGCCGCTGAAGACGTCGTCGAAGACGGAGGCCCAGTCGAAGTCGCCCTTCAGCGCCTCGGCCTCCGGCGCCAGCAGGGGCGACTGGGGGCCCCGCCCCAGCTTGGCGCTCCTCTTGGGCGAGGGCTGCTTCCGCTTGCTCCCG